CACTGTTTCCCAAAAGGTACGATATTTTTTTCTCTTTCTGTGTCACATACAGTAGCAGCTCCGTCAGAGCACTCGAAGGAACAAAACAGAGCACGGCCACGCACAGACCTGTATTGCTGCAGCTCCTTGAGCTGCTGCTTTTAAACCCATTAGGATTTGCTATAACCACTGACAGTACTGGGTAGCTAAAAGCTGGTTTGGATGATGGCAGTAGCATCATCTGAAGAAAGCATTTGAGGTGGTAAAAGGGGCAGCAGTGATGGATAATTTTTTTTGCACGTTTTCAGGATCTCCATGAAGTTGTGATAAGCAACAGTGAGTCCTTTTATGCACATTACAGCCTGCAATTTTGTGCAGACCAGGGCAAGCAAGGCAATTGAAAGTCAGTCAAGTAGTCTGACATGACTGCTGTGATTAGGCTGCCATGCTATGTCACCATGCAATACATCAGCAAAAAACACAGTGCTGAGATGTTCTCTAGATTGTTTCAAAAAATACTTTTTTTTCCCTGACACACATTTATGTTCAATGTTTTCTCAAAGTACTGGGTCTTTTTCTCCTTTCCCTTATATTGATTTATTGTGGATGCAATCTATTTTCTAATACAGCTTTACATTAAAGTTACATAAACATGAACCTACAGATATTTTGGTGCATTTTTTACTAAATCTTTTAATGTATCACACAGGACATGTATACCCTAGAGGGAAACCTACATTAGGAATTACCTACTGAACTGGTCTGTTTTCTATGTTAACCATGTTAGCTAAATCCACAACTGGAATAATACCAGTGTAATTTCACTGAAACCAATGGATCTCTATGTTGAGTTACAATGAAGAGAAATTATGTCTGATTTAGAACAACTTCCACATAGAACTCTACAATTTGTGCATATTATTAATATGCACAATGTGCTGAATCAGCCGGTAAAAGCAATGAATATCTTTCTATAATAGTCAGCCTCCTACAACAGCCAATTCAACAAGTAGCCCAGGGAGAGTGCTAATAGTTTTCTGACAGCTCCCTGAGATGTGAATAGATGCATCCTTTTATAAAAAGAAAAACTCACCCTTAACAAAAAAACCTTCTAAATCTTGTCATATCCATGTTTCACAGATTTCTTTTGTATGTCCAAGTCTCTCTCTCTGAAATGTCATCACCCCAGGCCACTCACTGCCTCAGAAAATTAGGCTATAATAAAGCTGTCTCATTCTCTCACAAAAAGTGTGAGAAAAGAGGAAAATCAGAAAAAAAATAATAAAAAAAAAAAGATATGTTCGTTGTTGCAGCCAGTGCTGCTTTTACAGCAACTGCAGGCTTCTCTGGTTCATTTACTGAACCAGAGGCTGGGAAGTCTGCTAGCAGCAATCCTAATCAAGGGCTTTATTTATTTATTTATCCATCCATCCTGAGGAGAAGACAGGGAAAAGATGCCATTTGTGGTTTTTTTTCATGAATTTGATTGTTTTTCCTCAGGCTAAGGATCAACAGGAATACAATGCTGGTCCTTAAAACATCATTCCTATTCTTTCTTTATTTGATGAGTAGGAATAGCAGCAGAAGCACAAGTCCCTTCTCCCCTAAGCTGAGGACATGTATTTGCATGCACAAGGCAAAGACTTTCTCTCGGCCCTTTATAGGGTAACTCGTACCTGAGAATCCATTGTCCCAAAGGAATGGGACTGCATCTGTGTCAGCAGTGGAGCGAGGACAAAAGGAAGTAGAAGGATGCAGAGTTTGCTCTGTTAACCTTGAAATCCAGCAGACTGTAGTCTTAGGATCTTGACCGAAGCAGACATGTTAATATTTCAGCTATGCCACCCTACCTTTATGGGTTATAGTTACCCAGTCATGAGCCAGCTTGTACAGGGAACTATTTCCTACATGGATAGGAAGGTGATAAGATCCGCAATGAGGCATAGCAAAAATTAATGTATATAAGGGGGGGAAGAAAACAACCAAACAACAACAAAAAAAACCCCAACAGAACACACACTCTTTTACATCATCTCCCATTTCATAGCTTGAAAATATATATTTTTAGAAAGCATCTCAAACAATTTTCTAGGAAGTATTTATAATCTGCATATTATGCAAAACTTGTGTGTAAAGCTAGACAGTAATTCAGCCAAAGAAACTTTAGCATTTCAGGAGATGCCTGACCCATTACAGCCAAGTACATCCCTGTGATGAGAGATGGCATGTTGTAAATGTACTGTCCAACTGAGGACTAAAACAAATGGTGATAAAATTATGAAAGCTTTGCACATTCTTATTATGCAAACTTAATTTAAATGGATGTTCTAATATTCTTCCAGATGCAATGATAAACCTCCAACTACCTAAGAATATTTATTGAGAGGATGAATATTATTATTCCATTTACATTATATCAGCATTAAGGGATATGGCTCATTCAAGCTGCTATTGATAAGGCAGTGTGGTAAGGTTAATACTGCAACTGACAATGCTCTGCCAGATTTCCCAATATATGGGAAACTTTAATTAGAAGTTTATGAACATCTGAAAATTCTCTGAAGGGCTTATCCTTCAGAATGAACTTCAACAAATAATGAGTTGAAATACACAGTGATATGCAGCAGTTCCATCAAGAGAGATGTCTATCTGTACATGGTGGTCTTACTTTGAAGGTGGCCACCTCCAGCACTTTCACAGGCTCCTACCCGTTGTCTTTTTTTTCATGAAACATTATACGTTTTGATTTTAGAGTAGTAGTATAGTAATTATATCATGGATGAAAATCCTGCTCCAAGTCTGTGAGTCGGTGAGATGTCAGTTTTGAAGGCAGGATTTCATTCTTTACTTGATGAAGGAGTTGGCAACCATCAAAACAGTATTTCCCTGAAATGTGTTAATTTGCCTGATGTTAGTTAACAAGGGCTTTGCTCTTCTGACAGATACAGCTGTAAGCCTGCTGGAATGGCAAAGAAGCAGTGATAAGAAGTCTGCATCTGAGGATGTTGTGGAGTCTGTGGATGCCGACATTGATTGCACCTGCACTGGCACCTGTAGTTAAACTCAATGCTTTAGTGTTGTGCTACAGCCATACTAGACAAATAATTGAATAGCTGGACAGGTAAGAAGGGAATACAATAACTGTAGTAAAATATTAAGAAATGTGCTAGAAGAAAATAAGCCCACTGCATTGCATCCCAAGTGACATGCATTATGTACAGTCTGCACTGCTTAATAAATATGTTGTTCATTAAATAAGTATTCATGTAGTCTCTCTCTGTTTTTTCCCTATCAACAAAACAATCAGGTGGACTATAATATTATCCAGAAATTCTGCTTCCTTTTATCTGAAATATAATTACAGCAGTCCTCTCTTAAAATTATGTTCGCTAGGTGATGAAAGGAAAACATGATTACGGCTACTACTAACATTCCATTGTGTAAAGAACTTCACATTTAGCATACTAAAGACACAGTAAGCATTTGTTTTCTTTTATGTTTTCTGGTAAAGAGCAAAGCCTGTTCTTGGAACTGTTCTGCAAAAAAATATGTTTTACTCCCAGCAAGACCATTAGCCTTAGTACAGTGTACAAAGGAATGAATTGGACTGCTAGACTCCCACTGTAGCTTTCTAGAGAGCTATAGTATACGACAGTCCCCATTTTGATTTAAATTTCAGTGGATTTGCTGTTACCTCATGAGCTAAAAGCATGAATAGGAACTTTTTTTCTTAGTTTGCTATTTTATATTGTGTTTATATATGAAAATGATGCCTACAACAACTTGAGGGAACAATAATACATCAGGTAGCAGTCCAAATACACCAAAAAGTAAGATATAGGAAACTATATAACATCACAAAGCTAAAATAAAGTACAAGCAGGACATCAGCCTCTTTATAATGGTGAACCTATTGCTCTTAACTTAGGTGGGACATGGGCTGAAACGCAATTTCGTCCCACTCTGGGGGACTAGGAATCAGTGGCACCTTCAAAGGCGATGTGATGGCACAACCCCCTTGGGCCTCGCGGTGACTCATGATCCACCCTCGCACCAGGCAGGAGCCCCAGGCGCACGCTGGTTCCACAGACACCTTGGTATGAGCAGGGTAGAGCGTGGAAGTGTCATTAGATAAAGCGCATTCCTTCCTAAATCCTGCATTATCAAAAAGAGGAGGATGGAAGACTAAATAGCTGGACAATTACAGAATAAGAGTGTCAGTGCCTGATTTTTTTTTTCCAAGATTATAAATGTTAGCAATGTAGTCTCACTCCCCTCCACCCGACCCTGCAATGGGGCAGCTAACCTCACTAACCTGCAATTAGAAAATGCCTGGTTTAGAGATCAGCAACATCAGACAAGCTAAGATTTCAGAGGGCAGTTCTTTAAGATACAAATTACTCACTTGCTCCCTGTCACCTTATTTTAATCCAGATTTTGCCTGGCTTTGTTTCCTACATGATGGAGAGCAGGCCATTCTCAAAGTACTGCAATTAAACAGTTAGTGAAGAAAACAAGCCATTGCATGGCAAAAGCTGGGGCCACGGGCTGAGTGCTGGAGCCAAGGTGCAGACTCCAGGACATTCTGCCTGCCTGTGGTGTCCTGCTGGGCCTCCTTCCTGAGGTTAAACAGCTGCAGCAGGACTGCAAAGTGCACACGAGGATTCCCTGTCCCTCTCTCCCCTTAATCCTACCCTGGTCTGTATGATGCATGTAAGCAAGCACCTTCATGCACAGTGGGCCTTTATGCAGGCAAACAACGCTCTGCTCAACAGGGTGTGTTTTTTTTTTTTCCCCCCATGTTCAAGTTAAGAGGAATAGCATGGATTCCTGCACTATGTTCTTATTTGTGATAAAGCAGTCAGAAATTCTTTGTTCAAAAGCTGTGCTGTTCACTAACTCATCAGACGTGCTACCCTGCAGAAATGTAGCCCCAAACAAGAAAGGAGATGATTAATATCACATGCTACTTCTCTCTAAAAAAAAAAAAAAAAAAAAAAAATCACACTAGCATTACACTGAGAGCCTCTTTTCTTCCCACTATTGTTTTCACTGCAGCTTATAGAAGATTTGCCATTGACTTTCATAGGATCAGATTGGGGTCTGTCATCTTTAATCCAACACCTTTCTATTTAATCCACTTGTTTACAAAAGAGAGACTTTTGCCAGTCAACCACTTCAGCTAAGAGAAAGGTAGGGAAGAGAGATCTAGTGGGGAAGGGAAAAAAAAAAAAAAAAAACACACCTTCCATGCCTAACTACTGGAATAGGAATTGAGTAACACCAAAAGTCATTAGTAAGTGAACTAATTATGCTTTTAGTAAGATACAGAAAGCATGACACTAATTAACAATGATCAAGCTGGAATGTACAGTATGAGCAGTGCAAGCAGCTCATGAAGGCAAAGCCTTGGCCAGGAAACCATTTACAGTCTGGTAAAGTCACTGGAAAAGTTTCAAGGGAAAGGCTGATCAGAAGTTCTAAATTAGCTTTTCCTACAATTATGATATATAATAATAGTAATTATTGGGCAGTGTTACAGAGTGTGCCACATACATAAGCCCTGTTCCTGCAGAAGCCCTAGTCTGGATTCTGCCCCAGCCCTTAGAAGGAGCCTCCAGGAAAGCCCCTTTCATTCCTTCACGCCTCTTCCTGTTAAACAAACTGCCAGGGCTGAACAAGGCACGAGGGCCCTGCTCAAGCCCCTGCGTAGGCCCTCCCTGCAGGCCCACCTCGCGTTGCACTGGCGGCAGCGAGTGCCACACGGGGTAGTCCGAGCCCAGCAATCCTACAGAAACGCAGCTCCCACGTTGTCCCTGGCGCAAGACAGACAAAATGCAAGTGGTGGAGCTGACTTCGATTCCTGCTCTAAAGCAACTCGCCTCTCCAAGGCATGGACAGAGAGAACCTCTAGTGAAACCAAGGCAGCCTGGGCTCTTCAAGGCATCGTTTATCCCATCTCATATTATCTCTATGTTGAAGGGGCAGCTTTCATTTTATCCAGTTCCTGTTCATTAGCGCCCTCTTACTGAGACGGTTCAATGTATTTAACTGGCTGAAACGTTCCAATGATTTTGCAGTAGTAGAATCCAAATATAAGTCAAGAAAGCCGGGGGTTGGCACTGGGTACTGTGAAGCGAAACAACCTATTTAGCCAAAGGAATTAGGAGGCGCATTAACAGTACAAGTATGAACAAGCCAATGCTGCGGTTTCTAATACACTACGTAGACATTTCTAACCCACCTGGGAGGATATCTGGCGTCCAGATTTAAAGCTCATTTTGAAACCATGCCTGCCCTATCTTATAAAGCAAACCAAAGTTACATTGCCTACTATTAAACTGTGTATTTCACAGTCTGAGCTTTTATGCACTCTACTTTTCTTTACCAGTGCTTCTCAATGATGTGAATAAATCAACTTTAGACTTTACAGTAGCAATCAAGGAAAATGACCTTGCAATTATAGTGCTCCAATATTGTTTCAGAAGAAAGAGTATCAGAAAAAAAAAAAAAAAAAAAAAAGACATAGTGCTAAGCATGTGGCAGCCTCCAGTTTTAATCCTGGCTTTGAAACTATTAATGTGGCTTTCTGTGAGGCTCTCTGCTTCATTTTTTTTTGCATCAAGAGGATATGAAAATTTACCTACTTGATAAGAGTCAGAAATACTTATAAATTATGCCATGTGTGTCTTTGGCAAGTTCTTCAGCAAATCTAGAGATGAAAAAAAAAATTTCCACTAGATCTCCTAACCACATGAGTATATTTTAGTGCTAAGTTGAAGGTTTTTATTTTCAGATTCACCCACATGTAAAATAACTATACATTTGGAAAAAAATCAAAACAACTTAATTTGTTCACAGTCAGCTTTAGTTAAACCCTAGTGGATTATTCATAAAAGCCAAGAATCGGATCCCCATATTACAGTGGAATAAGCAAGAGCTGTTGAAGACGGAGTCTTTTGTACCCTGGACCAAGCCAACAAACCTTCTGTCCAGCAGCCCTGGCTCTTTTGACTCAACTAATTTTAAAAGACACAGAGGCTCCAGGGAAAGCAGGGCTGTTCTGTGCCAGAGAAGGGGCTTCAGCATGATAGGAAAGGACAAAACCATTAATATCAGCCCCATCCTGGAAATAAAACACCTGCTCCACAGTATGAGCATTAAAAAAGAAAACGGGTGCAATTCTAACCCCACAGAAGTCCATGGCTAAACTCAAAACAGCTAGGTTTTTACTCAGCATGTTTAAATGAGTTATTAAATGAACTTTAGTTGTCCCTAAAAATAAATGTTATTGTGTGGATCTAAGTGTAGCTGATGAATAAGAAGCCTCAGGAATCCAGCAAATACAGTGGTTAGGCCCAAAGCCAGAGACAGCCCAGAAGGTTGGAGAGAAGAGCAGCTATTAGTCACTGTTTGAGCATCATGTTGGATCTTAAGGTCTCTCGTGCCATCTACTGGCTTCCTCTCTTCACTAGCAATGGCTTAAAGCTTTCTTTCCCAGGTTTATTTATAGGTCTGATACATTCCAGGCAGTTTTATATAAATTCTAAGCAACATTTAGGATTTTTTCCCCTCTAACCTGCACACTTGATTACTATTTGTTTTTTTTTCCTCTAACTACATGACAATTCTCTACTTTTCTGAACACCATTTCACATCATCCCTGGAGGAAAAAGGCATTGCCTAAGACATTCTCATTTCGGTTGTTGCTGGATAGGCAGTAATTACATGGCAAGCAGGGCTGAGAGAACAGCTCACTAAGAAAACCCAGAGCTACTCGCAAGTGGTGCTTACGCTTCTTCCTCAATCAGCAGGAGGTTATTATTTTGGTACCTGCAATCATTTCAGTGCACCAAAAAAAAAAAAAAAAAAATCCAGTCTTCCTGCTTCCCCCCCTGCCCCCCAGCACCTCAGTCAGTTGTAATTCCTAGTAAACACTTATTTGTCCTCATGCTGTTAAATGTGCTTGCAGGTGGATTTTGGGGAGCGGGAAGTACATACACAGACGGCTGTATCTGATCACAGTACCACCCTCCATCGCCTTAAACCTGCCCCCCAGGCCTCATTTCTCCATCTCCCACGGAGCACAGACCTGCTTCACTATGAGCACGATGAGCTCCAGCACCTCGTGACACCTGCAACCAGCCTCTCAAAATGCACCTTGCACCCTGCACCCATCCCATGCCCTGGGCACCCTGCAGGGTACCCCAACAAGGGACCGTCCGGGCAGCCACAAAGTTTCCATGCACCTTGTGCTAA